GGTACACCACCAAAGGTGTACCCCATTTGTCCCCCACCCCTCCATCACCACAAAAAAAAGGCAAGAGACTAAAAACAAATTAAATAAATAAAAATAAAATCAAATTGAGTGGTGGAGAAAAGAGTGGGGGACAAATGGGGTACACTTTTGGTGTACCCCTAGCATTGCTCGTATTTAAATATTAACACCTAATAAATAAAATATTTCGTCACCTATAAAAATAATTGCATTTGTTTTGACACCTAATATTCCACCTAATTTAGGACGCATAAAATGTGAAATTATCGTTATGGTAAGAAATCTTTGAATAAATTTAATTATGAAATAGGAAAATTCATTTTTTTATAATAGTATTCTTTCCCAAATTATTTTTTTTACTCTTCATTTATAATTACACTTTTAATTAATTATAAAACTACATTAAAGTATATTTTCATAAAATTTACTTTAAATAAAATTTAAAAACAATAGAAGATTGAACTATAATTGTGTTAAATTAGAAAAATATATTATACAAAAATGTCGCTATAACTTTTTGGGAACTCTGTACTTGAATAGGAATAAACATGGAGAAAATACCAAAATAAAATTGCAAATTTTTTATATCTCCAAAATAGGAGCTACCAAACATTAAGAGATTCCTTAGTTTCAAAAGGAAGGTTTTGGTAATGCATTTCTATCGAAAGACAATGTTTGTTCTATATATCGAGGTTAAAGTATACAAAATTGACAAGAAAATCAATTGAGAAGATCAAATCCAAATACACATGGAGTATTATTGAAGAAATTAGAACCTACATGAAATTTTATGCAATTGAGTGAGAACTAAAATTCATTTTTTAATAAAAAATTTTATAAAATAAACTTCTAAAATAATTAAAATAATAGTATAAATTTTTAAAATCAACTTCTAAAATAATAGTTACATTTTTCACATAAAATTTTAAAAAATTATCACGTAAAAATAATCACATGTAAACATTCAAAATTTTCTTCACTTGATATGAATTTATTTTTAAACAGCAAAACAAATATAGTTGCAAGGGTTTTCACAAAGAAAAATTAAAAAACATTTTAAAATAATTACAGGTATTTCACTTTTGACTTCATTGAAGTCACAACTACTACGTTTTTAAAAAAACAAAAAAAATATTTGCATGTGATATATACAACAAAATAGTATTTGCAAAAAAACGAATCACGTATTTTTCATACGTGAACTTTATCAAAATTCAATATAGATATGAAGTGGGGGATCAAAGGCGAGGTCATCCTCATTCGAAATTTACTAGCGTGAACATGAGTGCCTAATAGAGGGACACAAAACATTAAGGTGCCCCTAAATGCACAAATGGGATAAATTATAATTATTATAAAGGAGACCTAGATTAGAAAAAGGTTAATCCGAAAGGGTCATTTTGAAAAATTACTCTACATTTAAATGTTGAAAATACCTAAATTTCCTCCACTGAACATCCATTTAATTAACAAACATATATGGAGGACACTGAGTGAATAAATCTCAACTATAAAGTACTACATAGATAATTAATGCTTAATAACACTGATTTTGGAAAATACGTTATTCGAAAAGACTATTTTTATATTATTCAAATTAAAGAAATTTATAATTTATAATAAGGTGATTAAAAGACTTGATACTATATTTTCTAAGGTAATTATACGTGTCATAATTATGTACTTTATTTTTAGACAAATGGATTATACATATACTATGAGATTGACTTAATGCATATCTTACATAGAACTTTTGTTTATGGTAAGATAACTAATTATGATATGAAATAAAAGTATTTACATACAATTTGACTATTTTTAAAATATTGAATATTTAAAATAAACAAATTAGAAAAAAGATTTAATAAGACTTTTATACTTTGTCTAGGTAACTTGATTTACTATTTTAATCAAAATAATCGTATATTGTAACTTATGATTTACTCCTTACATACTTATATTGTGTTACAATTCAAAATGTTTATACATAAAATTAAGAAATTTTGAATAAGAGAGAAAACTTCATAGGGTGATATTTTATGAGACGACACAGATTTATGCATAGAAGATTGTGACAAAGAAGATCAAGGTGTGGAGGGGAGCGTGAGAAGATTTGTGACAATGAAGATTTAGGATAATAAAAAAAGTAAGAACAATTGTGCAGAAAATCTAAGGTGCAATAGCTAATAAGTTCGAGACTCAGTTACAGGTTACAACCACATCAAAGAAAATATAATTTCTAATTTGTAAACTATTTATATTTTCATAGAACATTTTATATCTTGACCAGAATACTATCCCGACAAAATCATTGAAGCACTAACATTTTAATGTTTTTAAAATCAATATGGGGCAGAAGAAGAATTGATTCTTAATATTTTAAAATTAAAATTTATAATCATAGAGATTTAGGATCACTAATTTAAGACTTTGTTTTTTAATAATGCAAGAAAGAATAATATTTTTTTATAATCATTGCGGGGAGGGGGTAGTGGGGATTATGGATGAGAAGAATCCTTTTTTTAATTACTACCTCCGTCCCTGAATATTTGTTCAGTTTTGACTTTTTCCGATTAACTGTTTTCAACATTTGACTTATAATTAAATAAAATATATATTATATATTGAGTACATAAAATAATATTTTGAAAATGAATAATATAATAGATGAAATAAAACTAATTTTGTAACAATATCTAATATCATTATATTATTACAAATTTTGATAAAAAAGGTCAAAAATGGACAAATATTCAGGGACAGAGGGAGTATATAATTATAATGTCGGTAGTTGAGGTTTTTTAAATTAATGTGAGGAAAAAAAATCATTGGATCACTATTACTTTTTGTGTTAATATATTTTTGAATTTATACAGGGAGAAAATATTTAGATTTGTAGAAATACATCAAACCTAGATCATTTATATTTGACCATTGAATAGCATTCAAAACAAAAATCAAGATCCATATTGTAAAATTGGAAAAAATATTTGTAACGCCCCGAAATTAGGCCTAAAAGAATTAATTAAATTAAATATTAATTAATGACTAAGACTGACCCGAACACTGAAAAATTAAAGTTTTCAGAAAAATATTTTAATTATATCAAAATTTTAGTTTTGATAGTCTGATTCCAAATTTTCGATCCGTTTTCAATTCGGAACAGTTTGGGCGAAAAAGCGCGTACCGTTTTAGTCAGTTTATCAGTTACGGAGTAGGAGAATAAATTTGATTCCCCAAACCCTCCAAATCACGTATAGACATTCCCCCCCTCCCTTCCAATCCTCAATCAAACCACATTAGGACCCCACTACCACATCCCTCCAATTTACTTTTCCTATATTATCACCCTACCACCACCATCATCATCCTCACACATTATCACCATCATCCGTCCATCATTCTTCCCCTCCCCATCCTCTCTCTGTCGGCAGCAGCTCAGGAGGAAGAAAACCCAAAAAAATACTCCATTGTTGAGCCAAGGAAGAAGAAGGAGAAACAAGAAGAAGTGTCAAGGTTCCCAAATCTTAAGCTCAAAAACGCAGCATCAACTTCTTCGTAAATTCTGTAATTTTCTATCCATTTTCTCAAATTGTTTATCATACCAAAATCGTAGCCCCGGACGTTACGAATCCAACCCAACAAACGGTTCGGGATTTCGTTAAGTATCGAAGGAGATATGGCCAAAATACCGGGACTGCTCCTGTGGTGGCGGGCTCCTCGGGTTGGCCATGTTTCTTCATCATTTTCACATCGTTTCTTTCCAATTTCTTACCGTCAACTCTCTCGTGGTTATTAGGGACTTCCGGAGATTATTTCCAAGAAGATTGAACGTCGGAAGCTCGAAATTGATAGGGGTGACGGTACGTTGAACGTTCGTTGAGGCGTATTACTATTTTTCTATCATTTCCATCCTCTACGATATCAAGGCGAATACATTGCGGCCCTTAGTAACGCAATCCTTGGTTGAATATCAATCTAGATATATCGTTAGGATTGATTGCCATATTATAAGTCATTTATGCTTTAAGATCAAACTCATTAAACTCATAAAATAAAAATATGTTTTTCTAGAAACTTCACCTTAAATGAAAATATAAATGTTAAGAATACTTCAAATACATAGATATGTTAATCATAAGTGTTAAAATAACTCAAAGAAGTATTTTAGATATCCAAAAATATCAAAAATAGGATTTGCAGACTCGAACAGTCGACGTAAACGGTCAATCGTCGCATTAAAAATCGAAACGGAGCAAGACTGTCAGACAAACGGTCGACCGCCGGTGGCCAACGGTCGACCGTCGCCTGCCCAGCCGAGAACCAGCGTCGCCACTTAGTCAACAACGGTCAACCGCCGGTCAACCGCGGTCGACCGTCACGGTAATCCGGCATCTCGACGTAAAGAAGATCAAGGTCGACCGTCCCGCCAAACGGTCGACCGTTCCGAGCCCCGTAGCTTAATTAAATGATATTTTTATCAGATTTCACCCAAATAAAATAAAGTATATTTATCCATTCATATTGTTTACAAATTGTTCATATCATATGATTCATTTCATCATCCATATTGAAGCATATCACATCATGTGCATGCGTAAGAGATCATGCGTAATTGCGTCTCTTATAGTGTGATGTGCGGGACTTACTCGTCCGGCATCACCCGTTTCGGGCTTAGTGTACGTACATGGTATTCGGGTTTCGAGTACCACCCCTACTTTCTAGTCTCCCTTGAGAGACTAAGGCCGCGTGAGTTCGTCGTACCAAATGGGCGAATTTCATAGCGCAAGGGTGTCCTTGCTCGTTAGAATCATACAGCATGAAATCATCAAGTACAATCATTATGACTATGTATGACATCAATTACATATCATTATCTTGAACATACATGCTATATTATGTCATATCATGAATAATTGTATGTCTACTTGCTATTCAACTTGGAATTGTTGTATTAGCGTATTCCTCAGCTGACGCTAGGCGTATAGTTTGTTTTACTTGCTACACGCAGGTAACGATACTTGTCATGGAGCCCATCCCGGAGGTCAATGAGAGTGAAGAGATGTACGGACTGGTGGACCACATTTATGATGCTTTAATTAAATAAATACCTTTTCGGGCGAGTACCCAGAAAAATGTAAAACAATTTGATTATGTTTTATATTTAAGCTTCCATACTGTTTCAACAATACTCTGAATTTAATATTTGAAATTATCACTTATGTTAAAGTTTAAATGGGTTTTAAATTATCCTTCAAATTACCATGCGTATTTACCATCATGGTAACTACTCCGGCTTAAATAATCTAGGTAATTGGGTTATTCGAGTTGGGGTGTTACATTTTGGTATCAGAGCATGCGATCTAAAAAATGATTTTGGAAATCAAATTAAAAGAGTTTCAAACACAAGTCTGCATCTCTCCACATCTCTGCCCGAGAAGGTAAAACAATTAGTTTACTTATGACTAATTACAATTTAAATTAATTATAGAATGAGTCAGGACTCGACTCACGGTCAGGCAAATCCTCACGCGGAGCCTGAGCACGTTAGTGTGCATACGGTGCACACTGAAGCATCCAGTTACGTGCCCCAGCAGCCGCAGCCTCAGCCAGAACCTCAGCCCGTTCCGGAGCAGTTCGCGGGTCAGAACCCGAATTTAGCCATTCCGATGTTCCAACCACAAATGGTTGCGAACATGTTCCAATTCTTCCAGCAGATGGCTGGAGCGCACGTACCACCACCACCACCTCCTCCTGCACCCATTGTCTCAATTGAAAAACTCAAGAGGAATGGGGCGCAGGAATTCTGTGGCGACCAGATAGCGGACCCTCAAATAGCCAAGCGTTGGCAAGAACGCACGGTGAGGGTACTCGAGAATTTGAAGGTACCTGTTGAGGATTGGGGACAGCACGCCATATCCTTATTGCAAGATGCCGCCTATGATTGGTGGAAAAGAGTGGGCGCCAACATTCACGTGCCAGTACAATGGACTACCTTCGAGCCACTCTTCAGAGCAGAGTATGTGCCCGATCACTATGTAGAGGCCAAATATGAGGAATTCTCCAATTTCACTCAAGGGAAGCTGACTCTTCCCGAATACCGTCAGCAGTTTGACTGATTGGCCGAGTTTGGTAAAGACTTGGTCAACACCATGGAGAAGCGCTGCAAGAAGTTCATCAAGGGTATGAGACCAGACCTGTCGTCAACACTCATAATTGCTCCCCGAGCCGACATCAACGATGTCTATAAGAAAGCTCTTGAGCTGAACGAGGAACTCATCAGGAAAGCTGCGTATGAACAGGCACTACTGGCAGAAAGTCGGGCCGTCCATTCAGGCCCGAAAATGGGGCATGGGAGCAAGAGGACTTTCTCCGCACCGAGCAACTCTCGCCATGATAAGCGAGCGAAATCTACTCCCTCTACATCTGTGGCCGTCACTAGTAAGAGCGGGAAGGAGAAGATGACATACCGTAATCTAGTATGTTCACACTGTAACCGCAGACATACTGGTGAGTGTTGGTTTACACAGGGTCTTTGCCTCGGGTGTGGTCAGGCAGGTCACTTCCGGAACGATTGCCCGACGAACCCAGGCAAGGCTTTCTCCACGGCACCAGGCACGCCGACTGCTCCTACTGTCCGAAGGGCCGAGCCTACCCAGAGTCATCGTTCTACGGCCGCGTCCAACCAACCAAAGAAACCAGCAACTAGTCAACAGCAGGGACGAGCACCAGCTCGTACATATGCCATGCAAGGGCGTACAGATCCGCAGGCTGATGATGTCATCATGGGTATGTTCACTTTATTTGATATCACCGTATCTGCATTAATTGACCCTGGATCTGCCTTATCATACATATGTGTACCTATGCCTGTTACATCTGACGTCACTAAGGAAACTCTTGAGCATCCGATAGTTGTGTCGAACCCACTGGGACACAATCTACGTCTCCAACATGTCTATAATCAATGTCCGTTGATGGCTCAAGGAAAGATATTCTTGGCCGATCTCATTGAACTCCCTCACAAGGAGTTTGACGTTATACTTGGCATGGACTGGCTGTCGAAACACCAGGCTATTGTTGAGTGCAAGGAACGAGTGGTGAAACTTCGTACAGACGACGGTAACGAAGTAATCATTCGGGGAGAACTTCTCCCAAAGGCCCCAGAATTCATCTCTTTTATGCAAGCAAAACGGCTCATTCGCAGGAAATGGCTTCGTAAGAACACGTGACAATTCCTATATGCCTTCCTTTGTGGATTGGTATTCCTGTATAGACACCAAACACTAAAAGGACTACATAAGGGACTGGAACTTCCAGGTCTACCTCCTTCAAGGGAAGTAGAATTTTCTATTGATCTTGTACCCGGTACAGGACCCATCTCAGCATCACCTTATCGAATGGCCCCTGCAAAAATGAAGGAATTGAAAGCTCAATTGCAGGAGTTGTTAGATAAGGGTTTCATCCGTCCTAGTGTTTCCCCGTGGGGAGCACCTGTCCTTTTTGTCCGTAAGAAAGATGGATCGATGAGACTATGCATTGACTATCGCCAGCTGAACAAAGTGACGATCAAGAACCGTTATCCTTTACCCCGTATTGACGACCTGTTTGATCAATTACGAGGTGCGACTGTTTTCTCAAAGATCGATCTCAGATCAGGTTACCACCAGATTCCTGTGAAACCAGAAGACATTCCAAAGACAGCGTTTCGTACGCGTTACGGACACTACGAGTTTACCGTTATGCCCTTTGGCTTAACGAACGCACCAGCTGTATTCATGGATCTCATGAATAGCGTTTTCAGACAGTATTTGGATCAATTTGTTGTGGTCTTCATCGATGATATTTTGGTCTACTCAAAAACACCAGAGGATCATGCTAAACATTTGCGCATCGTGTTGAGTATTTTGAGAGAGCATAAACTCTATACCAAACTTTCTAAATGTGAGTTTTGGCTGAATGAGGTCACTTTTCTCGGTCACGTGATTTCTGCAGAAGGAGTCAAAGTTGACCCGTGCAAAATTTCAGCAATCACTGAATGGAAAACTCCACGCAATACCCGTGAGGTACGGAGTTTCCTTGGACTCGCTGGTTATTATCGCCGCTTCGTGAAGGATTTCTCTCGAATCGCTACACCACTGCATAAACTGATGAAGAAGGATGTCAAGTTCGCTTGGATAGAAGCTTGTCAGAAAAGCTTTGAACAGTTGAAAGAATGTTTGACTCAGGCACCTGTGTTAGTTCAACCGACACCTGGTACTGAATATACAGTTTTCAGTGACGCATCACATCAGGGACTTGGGTGTGTACTGATGCAGGAAGGCAAGGTCATAGCTTATGCATCACGACAGCTGAAACCCCATGAATGCAATTATCCGACTCATGACTTAGAGTTAGCAGCTGTTGTTCTTGCATTGAAGATTTGGAGGCATTAATTATATGGCGAGACGACTCGCATATTCACCGACCATACTAGTTTACAGTACTTGATGACCAGAAGGAGTTAAACCTTCGACAGAGAAGGTGGCTAGAGTTGATTAAGGACTATGACTGTCACATCGCTTATCATCCTGGTAAAGCAAATGTAGTAGCCGATGCCCTTAGTCGTAAGACTCTTGCTGAACTCCGCATACGACCTACGTTGGATCAGGATATCATTTCAGCACAGCGTCAGGATACTTTTTGTCTCGAGACACGTGAGCTTGTTTCCAAAGGGGAGAAACAAGACTTCTCTGTTCGAGATAATGGTACACTATACTATCGAGATCGTTTGGTAGTACCATCAGGTGATGTGAGAGATCGCTTATTGCGTGAAGCTCACGGAACCGTGTATACCATGCATCCTGGAAGTAACAAAATGTTCCAGGATTTGAAGAGACACTACTGGTGGTCAGCTATGAAAAGGGAGATTACCGAATTCACATCGAGGTGCATGACTTGTCAGCAAGTCAAAGCAGAACATCAGGTACCCACAGGACTTTTACAGCAGATCACTATTCCTGAGTGGAAATGGGACCGCATTACGATGGATTTCGTAATCAGATTACCATTGTCCCCGAAGAAGAATGATGCGGTATGGGTTATTGTTGATCGTTTGACAAAGTCAGCACATTTCTTACCAATTCGGCGAGATTTTACACTTCAGCGTTTGGCCAAATTGTATATCCGCGAGATTGTCAGGCTACATGGAGTACCATCGTCTATCATATCAGACCGCGATCCCTGATTTACTTCCAAATTTTGGAAGAGCTTACAGAAAGCTCTTGGTTCTAAATTACATTTCAGTACGGCTTTCCATCCTCAGACCGACGGACAGTCCGAGAGGACTATTCAGATTCTTGAAGATATGATGCGAGCTTGCGTCATTGATTTTGGAAACAATTGGGAAAAATATCTTCCTCTGATGGAATTTGCCTATAACAATAGTTATCAGGCAAGTATTGAAATGGCTCCGTATGAAGCACTGTACGGGAGGAAGTGTCGAACACCAGTTTGTTGGACTGAGCTGAGTGAGAGAAAACTCGAGGGTCCAGAACTCGTGCGCGAAACAGAGGAGAAAGTTCAGTTGATCAGAGAACGACTTCAGATAGCAGCAGACAGACAGAAATCTTATGCAGATCTCAAGCGACGCGATATCGAGTATACTGTTGGTGACAGGGTATTCTTGAAAGTTTCTCCCTGGAAGAAGGTTTTACGTTTTGGCAAAAAGGGGAAACTCAGTCCGAGGTTTATAGGTCCATACATGGTTATAGAGCGTGTGGGACCTGTAGCCTACAGGTTGGAATTACCGCCAGAACTAAACAAGATTCACGATGTTTTTCATGTATCGATGTTGAGGAGATACAAATCAGATCCATCTCACGTTATTCCAACCGAGACCGTCACTCTAGACGAGAATCTTTCCTATGAAGAGGAACCTGTAGAGATCCTTGCGCGAGAAGTTTGAGTATTGAGGAACAAGACTGTGCCCTTAGTTAAGGTGCTTTGAAGGAGTCACTCTGTTGAAGAAGCAACATGGGAAACTGAGGAATCCATGCGATCTCAATATCCACAACTTTTCAGCAACCAGTAACCATGTAATTTCGAGGACGAAATTATTTTTAAGGGGGAGAGAATTGTAACGCCCCGAAATTAGGCCTAAAAGAATTAATTAAATTAAATATTAATTAATGACTAAGACTGACCCGAACACTGAAAAATTAAAGTTTTCAGAAAAATATTTTAATTATATCAAAATTTTAGTTTTGACAGTCTGATTCCAAATTTTCGATCCGTTTTCAATTCGGAACAGTTTGGGCAAAAAAGCGCGTACCGTTTTAGCCAGTTTATCAATTACGGAGTAGGAGAATAAATTTGATTCCCCAAACCCTCCAAATCACGTAGAGACATTCCCCCCATCCCTTCCAATCCTCAATCAAACCACATTAGGACCCCACTACCACATCCCTCCAATTTACTTTTCCTATATTATCACCCTACCACCACCATCATCATCCTCACACCTTATCACCATCATCCGTCCATCATTCTTCCCCTCCCCATCCTCTCTCTGCCGGCAGCAGCTCAGGAGGAAGAAAACCCAAAAAAATACTCCATTGTTGAGCCAAGGAAGAAGAAGGAGAAACAAGAAGAAGTGTCAAGGTTCCCAAATCTTAAGCTCAAAAACGCAGCATCAACTTCTTCGTAAATTCTGTAATTTTCTATCCATTTTCTCAAATTGTTTATCATACCAAAATCGTAGCCCCGGACGTTACGAATCCAACCCAACAAACGGTTCGGGATTTCGTTAAGTATCGAAGGAGATATGGCCAAAATACCGGGACTGCTCCTGTGGTGGCGGGCTCCTCGGGTTGGCCATGTTTCTTCATCATTTTCACATCGTTTCTTTCCAATTTCTTACCGTCAACTCTCTCGTGGTTATTAGGGACTTCCGGAGATTATTTCCAAGAAGATTGAACGTCGGAAGCTCGAAATTGATAGGGGTGACGGTACGTTGAACGTTCGTTGAGGCGTATTACTATTTTTCTATCATTTCCATCCTCTACGATATCAAGGCGAGTACATTGCGGCCCTTAGTAACGCAATCCTTGGTTGAATATCAATCTAGATATATCGTTAGGATTGATTGCCATATTATAAGTCATTTATGCTTTAAGATCAAAATCATTAAACTCATAAAGTAAAAATATGTTTTTCTTGATACTTCACCTTAAATGAAAATATAAATGTTAAGAATACTTCAAATACATAGATATGTTAATCATAAGTGTTAAAGTAACTCAAAGAAGTATTTTAGATATCCAAAAATATCAAAAATAGGATTCGCAGACTCGAACGGTCGACGTAAACGGTCAATCGTCGCATTAAAAATCGAAACGGAGCAAGACTGTCAGACAAACGGTCGACCGCCGGTGGCCAACGGTCGACCGTCGCCTGCCCAGCCGAGAACCAGCGTCGCCACTTAGTCAACAACGGTCAACCGCCGGTCAGCCGCGGTCGACCGTCACGGTAATCCGGCATCTCGACGTAAAGAAGATCAAGGTCGACCGTCCCGCCAAACGGTCGACCGTTCCGAGCCCCGTAGCTTAATTAAATGATATTTTTATCAGATTTCACCCAAATAAAATAAAGTATATTTATCCATTCATATTGTTTACAAATTGTTCATATCATATGATTCATTTCATCATCCATATTGAAGCATATCACATCATGTGCATGCGTAAGAGATCATGCGTAATTGCGTCTCTTATAGTGTGATGTGCGGGACTTACTAGTCCGGCATCACCCGTTTCGGGCTTAGTGTACGTACATGGTATTCGGGTTTCGAGTACCACCCCTACTTTCTAGTCTCCCTTGAGAGACTAAGGCCGCGTGAGTTCGTCGTACCAAATGGGCGAATTTCATAGCGCAAGGGTGTCCTTGCTCGTTAGAATCATACAGCATGAAATCATCAAGTACAATCATTATGACTATGTATGACATCAATTACATATCATTTACTTGAACATACATGCTATATTATGTCATATCATGAATAATTGTATGTCTACTTGCTATTCAACTTGGAATTGTTGTATTAGCGTATTCCTCAGCTGACGCTGAGCGTGTAGTTTGTTTTACTTGCTACACGCAGGTAACGATACTGGTCATGGAGCCCATCCCGGAGGTCAATGAGAGTGAAGAGATGTACGGACTGGTGGACCACATTTATGATGCTTTAATTAAATAAATACCTTATCGGGCGAGTACCCAGAAAAATGTAAAACAATTTGATTATGTTTTATATTTAAGCTTCCGTACTGTTTCAACAATACTCTGAATTTAATATTTGAAATTATCACTTATGTTAAAGTTTAAATGGGTTTTAAATTGTCCTTCAAATTACCATGCGTATTTACCATCATGGTAACTACTCCGGCTCAAATAATCTAGGTAATTGGGTTATTCGAGTTGGGGTGTTACAATATTTGTCTGAACCCGTGCATGGCACGGGTAGAAATACTAGTAAAGAAATATTAAAATCTAATCTCCTCCTCTATTCTTTTGAAGTCCGGAAACGCTCGAAGTTTTCCATCTTTCTCTACCTCATATTCTTGGAAAACGCTCGAAGTTCTCTGGCCGCCACCTAGTCTAAAAATTTCCTTTGCCGCCGCCGCCCGAATCTTGTTGCGCAGAGGTATTCGGTAGATCTGCAAAGGTATTTTTTTTGTGCAACGTGAATTTGTTGGAGCTATTTTAGGGGTGATTTCTTTGAATCAAGAGCAATTGGTAAGTTGGTGTTGTGGGTACCAAGTTGTTGGATTAATAGGAGGAAGAACACTGCGTAGCAGTGTTAAACGAAGAACTCGATAGTATAACGAATCGCGTACGAAACACTATCAGATCAAAGTTATTTCGGGGTATACGAAATACTTCAATCGGATAAGACGTTAATCAAGAACGAGCACTCTAGAATCGATACCACAACCCATACCACGAGACTCTATTTTATAGAGTCGAAAATCCTTGTGATCGGACATGAACGTTCGCGTAGATGTACGTGTACGTTCGCGCGAGGAAGAAAAAGGTGCGAATTTGAATGAAAGGTCTCTTGCGGTTTAAGGCTTAATTTCGACGTTTATCCATTGTGTACGAGTCCTTTACCGTTTTGGATTCCGTCACGAAAATCTAAAGGATTTTCTTAAAGAAACAACGTCCGAAATAAAAAATTTCCAAGCTGTCCCGCTCGACCCCGGCCAGGGGCTCTGCCCCTTGGACCCTGCCAGGGGCTGTCGCCCCTTAGACCCCGCTACCCGGGGGCTGCCGCCCCCGGACCTCCGCTATCCCGGGGCTCCCGGACCCCGTTGTGAATTTATAATATCGTTGAACGAGCGCGCACTCCGCGCCTCCTAACTCGTTTGACAACGTCTATTTAAATTCTTGTCCGATCGAAGTAAATCCAATTACACAAAAATAAACCGATGACACTAAAATCACCAACACAAGTTCCCCGTCATTGTTTTGCCGTTGCCGCCGCAAAATTGCTTTTTACTGCCAAATCCGAAATCACAAAGGATTATGCTATGTGTACCCCAAGGTTTGTACCCCAATTTGTACCCCGCAGTTTCGCACCAACACATTGTGTTGGTGTAAAACTAATTTTTGTTAAATGCACCAACATTTGTGTCCGTGTGAATTTTTATTAACGCACCAACACTTGTGTCGGTGTAAACCATCGAAATGTTTGTGCAAACCTGTGGTGTACAAATGGGGTATATTTTTTGGTGTAAGTGTAGCATGGTCCAATCACAAAACCAGACTACACAATCGCGGCATCAGAGTAGACAAGAAAAAAAGAAACGAAAGAAAAAAAAGAAGCATACCCTAGTGGCAAGCAAATTGGAAGAGCTTTTCTTAATTCTTGTAAATTAATGCATGAGCAAACTTCTGCCACAAATTTTGTTTTGGTGCAAGTACATCTACACGGGTGAATTGTTTTGCTATTCTTGTGGGGGAATATGGATGCAAAATCTAATATGGCAATGAAATATGAGATGGACGAACTTTTCAGGTTGCTAGAACAGGTTCTTTATAATAAAATTGAGCATGATGACGGAGTGTGTGCACTTTATGATCATATATATGAAATTATAAAGAAGATCCAGTCGTGCCAATTGATTACAAGTCAACCAAATTTTTATTTGAGCTTATATGAGTTCAATGTAGAAATTTCTTTCTCAGTACAGGATTTGGTTCGTGGTCCCCCAATTTTGTCGAGTTTGATTCCTTTGGAGTTACAAAATTTCAGAACAAATATGATGGGTGCCATCGAGAACCTCATCAGTGCCCCACTTTCTCCACCCAATTTGACTCCAATAGTCACCGTACAAAACACTGAGTCTCATGAAAAGGAAGCAAAGGATGACTCAAACATCGAATCACATGTTGGGAATGACGTGGGTAGTGGGCTTGAACTCATGAATGAAGATAACGGGAGGTCGAACATCGTGGGTAATAATAAATGTGATATTTCAACACATATTGTTAGTGCGGACACCTTAGATCGTCCATCATGTGAATGTTATGCTCCGGTCAAAGCCTTAACTTGTGTGGTCATTGATGAGCTTGCCCTTCTCAAAAGTGTCAACAAGGTGGGAGATGCAGATAATAAGCAAGCGGACAACCACATTTCATTTGACAGCATTAAGTTGTTTGACATTGTTGATGCGGTCAAGACAAAGCACCTAGTTTCACCTAGAGAACCTACATGTGGTATTGACTCTATCTCGCATGTCCCTCAATTTGCTCTAAGATCCAAGATGCTAGAAGATTCAAAGACTGGACTGCTCCTCTGGTTCAGCATTCTTTCTCCAGTCTTAAAGTACGAGTGGGAGCCTCCACCTTGAGGACAAAGTGGTATTCTAAAGGGATGAGAATGATATGGAAGAATAAATGCATTATTTAATTAGTTATTTATTAATATTATATAGTTATTATGTTTGAATTTAGTACGGGCCTAAGCCCATTAGGTCATTAGAGTCTTCCTCCATCTCTATATATTGTATCCCTTTTATCATTACAAAGCAATCAACAAAGAAACATCAAAATCTAATCTCCTCCTCTATTCTCTTGGAATCCGGAAACACTCGAAGTTTTCCATCTTTCTCTACCTCATATTCTTGGAGCTTGAAGAACTCGAAGTTCTTCCCTATCCGATACGATAATCGTATCAAGGGAGTATTTATTTTTTGTTGGAAAATTAATTTTTAACAGTGTCAAATCCAAATCCATTAGAATAATATATTCAATCATTTCCTAGACAGAAAACTTAACGAACTACTCCGTATATGACATGAATTAGGAAATTAATAAAAAACACCAATAAAAAAATTAGCTTTGTACGTTTGGACTCCGGATATGGTACTGTATTTATACTACGGAGTATAGTAAATTAAAATAAAACGGAGTACCGTATAAATGTATAATTTCCTTTCTCTGCGTAAGCCTATCCCGAGTCCTGAATCTAACAGGATTAGGATTTGGATTGATTTGCTTTGGCAATATTTATAAGTGAATGAGCATGACCTCTTCTGCGGCGTATTGAACAAAGGGGAGAAAGGGCAGTGATTGAGGAAAACAGATATGGAAGGTCGGAATTCAAGCGGAAGACCGAAGACGTCAGAGCACAGTGGAAGGTCGGAATTCAGTTAGTTTGCGGAAGACGTCAGAGCACATTGGAAGGTCGGAATTCAGTTAGTTTTCCTCTCGAGGTAGGGAGTCCTAAATCTAATAGATTAGGATTTGGATTGATTTGCTTTGGTAATATTTATAAGTGAATGAAGATGATCCGTAAGTATTGAGTTTGGCTCTGTCTGTATTCCTGGACTATTGTATTCCGATAAGGTTGAGTGAGCTTAATTTCTAGATGAAAAAGATGGAGAGGATGTATAGTTTGGGTTGTAAGAGGAGAAGGTTGGATAATGGTAGTGTAAGAGGATTTAAGATCAGCATCATGAGTGGGTGCGACAAATTTTCTCCTATCTTACGGTTGCCTCATGAAGTCCTCAGGGAAGAAGTGTTGTCAAGGCTGGCAACTAGGGATCTATGCCGAGCCAAGTGCGTTTGTAAGCAATGGCATAGCATCATAAGCTCCCCTGACTTCATCAAGGTGCACCGACGCCGCAACCACGATCCTTCACACGGGCTCCTCATTGCAACCACAGATTCTGTGAACAATGAGTTCATCTTCTACTACTCACCTCTGTCCGAACAACACCACCGCCACCAGCCTCGTGTTTTTGTCCCTCGGCTGAGGGTCCCCCGAAACCGGGACTACCAATGGATGACTCAAGTCGTGAATGGCCTTGTGTGTCTATACTCTGCCAATCGGTTGAGTCTTTTTAATATATGCACCCGTGAAATCCTTGACCTCCCACTACCCCCATCACCTTCCCGAGATGCACTGTGTGCTGCTGTTGTTGATACATGGTGGCCTGATACTAATGCTGTTGAGAAGGACAACAACCTTCGCATTCCTCGTGCTGGGGAGGCTACCAACTGCACTGCCACTCGCTACTATTTTGGCTTTGATACCCTGCATAAGGTGTATAAGATACTAAGTGTTAGTTATATGTGCCGTGAAGGATGTCCTGGCCCTGGTGATCTGTGCGGGTGCCAACCTTTCCTGGTGCCTCAGGTTCTCTCTCTCAGTGGCCCAGTCTCCTCCTTCAAGTGGAGAAACGAAGTACCTCATCCCAGACCATTTAATCCCCTTAGTATGCACACTATTTGTGTGAATGGACGATTGTGGTGGACTGGCAATAAAATCTCTCGCACTTGTTTTGATCTGACATCGACGCCTGAGCACTTTCGTAATATTACTGAACACCCCCCAGTCTCTGACAAGTGACAACTGCTGGTTCGTCACCAGCATACCCTCACAATATGGGGGATGCATTGCTCTCTCCGAAGGTTGTCTACGACAGGGGAGATCTTTGCGTCTCTTTACCCGCCCTGCAGAGCAAATATATTGTGAGTGGAGTAAATGTGATATCAATTTGCCAGTCGAATTGCTACGACGGGGGAAGTCTTCAATTGCTCTTGTTGGAAACCTTCCGGATGGGGACATTTTTATTGCCANTACTGAACACCCCCCAGTCTCTGACAAGTGACAACTGCTGGTTCGTCACCAGCATACCCTCACAATATGGGGGATGCATTGCTCTCTCCGAAGGTTGTCTACGACAGGGGAGATCTTTGCGTCTCTTTACCCGCCCTGCAGAGCAAATATATTGTGAGTGGAGTAAATGTGATATCAATTTGCCAGTCGAATTGCTACGACGGGGGAAGTCTTCAATTGCTCTTGTTGGAAACCTTCCGGATGGGGACATTTTTATTGCCAACGACGAAGCAGATGACTCCTTTACTCCTGTCTATTCCTTCACTCCTGGAAGAAACAACAAGTTCTCAAAATCATTTAAGGTTGGGAAGTTTCCATCAGCTACTGCCTCAATGTCGCCGAGAGAACTTGCTGTTGCTGTAACCTGTGTCGAGGATAATCTCACTCCACTCTGCAATTGTTTTTGAAATTGTTCCCATCTCTATATGTTTATTATCCATGTAATCTGAATAAGTTGTTGCTGTTGTGCTCATAAATACTGGTTCCAGTTTTCAACTTCGCTGCGGTGTCATTTGCACTGTTATGAAGTATTTTACTTATTCACATTTTTCATTTGTATGGATGAGGATTGATATTTCTCCTCTTAAACTCATTTATTTTAGGACGTGGATCATAATGGAAGTGGATTTTGTTGCCATTTCTGATTTTCACCCTTCGGTAGCCTAGGTGTTCATCATGTTTATGCTAGAGCATAGGGCTTGTTTGCTTTCATAATCATGTGATTTATGTGAGATGATTTTGTCAATCCTTACAAGGATAGTTGGATAGGCATTTTTGTCTGGTGGTAGGTTTTCCGCTTTTCAATGTGTGCTTTACATGCTTGGCGCTTGTTTTTTTAATAAATATCTTTAGCTTTCTCTATGCTACTTTTTTCCGTGCTTTGTATCTGTTTTTTGTGTTTCTTGAGCTCGAGTAGGGGTAAGGAGATTCTAACGGGTTGTTTTTGTTGGTGTTGATATCGTCAAATTTTAATTTTCTTCCAAAAAGGGTCGTATGCTATGCCTTAAAAACTTTCATGTTTGAGCTTATTTTAGATAGCTCGGTGCAATTGAATTGGATGCTGATTGAGTGATTCACCTAATGGAAAGGCGGCTTCTGGAAATCGGTCTATTTTGCCTATAATAAGCAAAATCAGGAATAGTCGTAAGGCTGTGAAATTCAAATCAAACCATGTCTTCAGAGAGGGCAATTCAGTGGCAGAGGTATTAAGTTCAATGTCTTACGGCTTCGTGTGAAAACAATGAAGGAAGCACGGTCAGAGGTATTAAGTTCTGGTTTTAATTTGTTTATTTACATTATGATTTACATTAATTTGATTATCCATATGCGATGCTCTGATATGAGCTATAGCATGATGTTATTACAACATATAGGATAATAACCGTGTGCATCATGAAATCCTCTTCTTTGAATTGAATATGTAATCATTAAGTGTTTGCTCCCACATTTTACCCTTCTTCTAAAAGCTTATACTATTTAAATTTATCTGGCGTAAGAAGAATATGAACTTCGAGCTGCCTTATTTAAATCACAGGCAATTTGTAGAATATAATTCAGGCAATCCGTTCACTTAGAACATCATTATCCATTCCCCCTAGTTTCTAAGATATTTTTATCACTTAGAAGCAGGTAGCTAAGATATTTGTTCCAGGTATTTGCACACACAAATACACACACATACACACAATCTGCCCATAAATTATTTTCTTGTTTGACTTTCATAAATTCTTAGAAATGAGTTTTTCTAGGACACCCAAAAACAAGAAGTATTTTGATGGCTATGGATTTGTCCAATGATGCTTCTTCTGTCATAGTTACACCGATAGGAACAAAAGAGTACACACACACACGTACACCCTCCATCCGTCTCCAAATAAAAGTTACAGTTACCATTCCAGGGTTACTATAACTTTTGTTGTGTTTTTATCGAGGCTTTGATAAAATAATTGTCATGTCATTTATTGTCTTCTAGAACTTTTGACGTTTTTAAGTATGCAAGTTTTATTGTTTTTTATATATTTTTGTTCCAATTTTTTAAAGAATTGAATTAGAAACACTTCACTATACCTCGTAATTCCCTCCACAATTTGGATTTGGAGACAGAAAGAGTGCATACATACATATACACACACTATCCATATGGCTTGCACAGAGTTGATTGTTTCTCTTTTTCGTTTGGTGCATAAATGATAGGTGGAGCTACTCTCTATTCTGCCCACTCAATCAAAATAAGGGAAGATGAAGGTTATAGGTGAGTGTATAATAAACCTCATGCAGAATGTTGCTGCTATATGATGAGTAATTTGTGAACGTGAGAGTGTTTGAGAATTTCTAAAAGGTGAACCTATGACAAAAGCCAATTAGTATGGCAAGTGTGTGGTTAACGACCAAGACCTTGATTCTAGATCATACTTCCCTCCTTTATTTCAATAAAGCAAGGCACTTGCATATTGTATGGCAATAGGTTTATACAAGGTGTCCGGAACAGAGAAACGCCTTTTTTTCAAAGTTTACAAAAGATTTGGGTGGTGCACGTCTCCAAGTACCCAAATCTTACAAAGGATTTGGACGTTTCAAGGAAGGAAAGTGACATTTAAGAATCCGTGCAACATGGATATCACACACTTCCACTCTTGCACTTTGTCAATGCAATCATTATATTTGTATTGGATTTACGTCATGAAAGTGATTTATTGGGTGTTTCCCTACTGCTGCAGGACCTATTATTTCTATGAGTATGGACAAGATGAAAGACACATTGCACTTGTAGCAGCCGTTAATGGCGGAAAGGTATATTGTTGACATCCCTCCTTGTCCGTGACCTTGATGTCTTTTCCCCCTTACCTTGGAGCTGCAGAAGGCCATGATACATGCCTCTCTGAAGTTAGCAGTCTTAGTGACATTTCAAATTTTTGGAGGAGAGTTTGTTGATTTCTTTATTGATTAATCAAATTATTCTCACACTGCTGCTGTATCAGGCATTCATTGTCGGAGCAACAGCCCCAGAGGATAGATGGAACGATGATGGCATCAAACTTCGATCCGCTGCTGTGTCATTCACGGTTCTATGATCATATGAACGAAAGAGAGATTTTCAAAAGTGATGAGAAAAGAGATGTGTTAACAATAATGATACTGGGAGAGAATTACCTGTTATGCATCATCTACTAAGAGATTTCAAATCATCCTTCATAAAACGAAGGGCAGAAAAATGTGCCCAACTTTTATCAAATCATCCTCATAAATTTGCATAAACTTGCATGAGATGTTGATGCTACGATGGTCTGATAATTTTGTGATATAACTCTATTAGGTATGAGATTTCTTCTTTCTTGCAGTTTCGGGACTTAACCTTAAATTTCCAATGATTGTGCGTTACTCCATCCGTCTAAAAAAAAAACTTCTCTTTCACTTTTTACTTGTCTAAAAAAACTTTCCACTTTGGCCTAAATAGACATAAATACTTTTGTTTTTAAAAATCTTATCTAAAATTTACCCCAACTTCTTTCTAGTTTCTATGCCCTCTCCCTTATTATGACATTTTCCAAATTCTTTTGTTTCTAAGCTTTTTTTATATTTAATCATTCATTTTTCAATTGTTTATCTTTCTTTATTATTTGAATGTACTTTTGATTTTTTTTTAAATAAAAAGCTTTGAACATTTCAAATTATAAGCTAGGCACGTATATATGTTAATTCCAATCTTTACCAAAATCAAACCATACTGAACTCATACTTCCATGTTAAGGATCCGGAGCAACAGGCAGAAACCCAGGTTCGGCGAAGTGGACGGACCAAGCGACCACCGAGATGGCAGCGGGAATTTGATATACATTAATTACTTTACGATCTTATTTTATTATTTCTAAATGTATCGTAGATTTTAATTAGGTGAGCGAACTATAAGCTCATTCGAGAGTTTCTTTACGGTTCTTTACCTCATTGCTTTTCTTTGAACCGTCAGGGTAGAATACATAATTTATAAGGAAGGGGATTCTCTTTGCCTATAAATAGATACTCCCTCCGTCCCACTATATTCGTCCACTTTTGACTTTTGGAACTGTTCATCTAAGCACTTTGACTCATTAAATTCTCTCAATGTGTAAGCCTAAATATAGTCATGCGTGATCTTGTTTGATTTGTCTTAACATATAGATTATTAATATATAATTTCTATAATTTTTTAATATACAAATTACAAGATAAAATGGATTAAAGAAGTGTATTGGATGGTGTGCAAAAATGAAAGTGGACAAATATAGTGGGACGGAGGGAGTATGTATTATTCCATGTCAAGGACAAGAATACAAAACCCTAATCTTCCCCTACCTTCTCGGCCGCATGACTCTTCCTTTCTTCTTTCCCAATCTCGTTTTTCTCTCTCTCAACCCCAACCTTCTTGGAGTTTGAAGGCACTCATTAGAGCCTTCCCTATGCAATACGTTTGTATCATTGGTGCTCTCATCATGTCTATGGATGTCATCACCTCTGCCGACTTTAGAGATTTCCAACAACAGATTGATCGTCAATTTTTGGCGCATACAACCACCATGCAAACCCTAAACCATAGCATGGAGCAGCTACCGTAGAAATTTGAGACGTTATTCAGTCGTCTCGAAAAAATGCCGGTCTCTGGTGTTACGCCGCCATGCACGGGAGGGGGCGGCAGTTCTAATCCGGTTCCGCTTATGTCCAAATTGAAGCTTAAGATGCCTAAAACAGATGACATGGATCCTTTAGGTTGGTTATTCAAGGTGTATGCATATTTCATCTTTTAGGGGTCACAGACGAGGCAAGATTACCGGTCGTATCACTTATGCTCGAGGGTGCAACCTTAGACTGGTTTCGTTGGTGTCAACCCTCGCTATCCCCCCTATCACTGTCATCTCCTTTCTGTTGAAACACGGGCATGTCACGTTTTTGTACTAAAGCCGTATTTGTTTTTATGACAGGTTTTGATAATGCCAAACCGCCGTGATCAAGTCAAACATTGAATATACAAGGCAAATAATGAAGAGAAGAAGAAGAGCTAAAAGAAGACCAAGAACGAAGACCTTAGTCTTAGTGTTGTTGAGTCGGTCTTCATTGTGATCAAGACCGACCCAATCTTTACACCTTGACTCTTTAGGCTAAAATCCTTCATTGCATTTCTTAAATCATAAAAATGTTTTTCAAACCTGTTTAAGTCATTAAAAACACTTGGTGTTCGTCCAAACCAAAAACCAAACCATCCAGCGTTCGGGTTTCAGAAACCGGTGTTCGGCTCTCGGTTATCGGCATTGGTTTTTGGCGTCCGAACCAACCGAGTGGTTTCCAACTTTTTATGATTGTTTTTCACTCTTTGGAATGTTTAAACGGTTATCCAACAAAAACACATTGAAAACCATCTTTCGTTTTTTGGTCGTTTGACAAAAATCATTCAAAACAGAATTAACTTGGCTAGCCGTGGTTTTCACTCAAATGACGTGGTTTTTAAAGTGTCTTACTTGATTTCTTAGCCAAATACATTAAATAAGTGTTTTAAACACTTGGTTTTCATTTTGGAGAACTTTGAATATTTCGGTCAGTTTTTGCATCGGTCGGCTAGGCCGTGGTTAAGCCAAAAACCATGGGTTCTTGACTAACCACCCACCCAGCGATGGGAAGATCCTCCCATCGATGGGTAAGCGGTCCCTCAGTCTAACCAAATTCGAGAACCATGCCAAACAGCGATGGGAAGTTAAACCCATCGCTGTTCAAGCCTTGGTGCTAAATTAACACAAGGCAGAATCACCTTGCCCAGCGATGGTGAGGATAAACCATCGATGGGAAGGGATGACCATTGTAGGTCATTTAAGGTTGATTCTTTCCTTGTTTGGAAGTCAACCTCCCGCCCAGCGATGGGAAGCTTGTACCCATCGATGGGTAGGCAACCGTTGGCTTCAAAACTGAAGGAAAATTGGCTTACCAGCGATGGGTAAGTCCCAAACATTGATGGGAAGCCAATATCCTGCAGATCCCAAATCTTTTCAATCCCTTAAATCAAGCTAATCACTGCTTTAATGCATTGGTCCGTTGGAGCCTATTTTTGCACTATAAAAAGGGGTGTTTGGGTCTGCTTTTCTCACCAATTCACTTCACAACATCTATACTTTCATTGCATTCAAATATCATCATTTTCCATAGCTTTCTAGAGCCATTTTGTGTGAAGGTTGAGTTGTTCTTGAGCGTACTTAGTTTACTCATAATCTACTCTATAAGAGAGTCTCGTTCTTGAGTGTACTTGTGTTCTTAGACACGTTGAGAGAAAGTATTTCTCTCGTTGATTCAAAGGAAGGTCTGTTTCTTTTGAAGGATTCGTTGAGGTTCGTGTGACTCGAACTCTCAAGTTGTAACGGTTTGTTAAGCACCCGCAAGCTTAACGAGATAGTAGTGTAGCTCGAGAGAGTCTCTCGGGAGGCTGGATTAGCCACAAGTTGTGGTGAACCAGGGTAAAATTCGGTGTGCCTTTTACTCTTCTCTTTACTTCTCTTTTAATTTTTAAATTCCTGCGATTTCTCCGATCAAACGCTATTCACCCCCCTCTAGCGTTGGTCTATTATTCTAAGACTTTCCAAGGCTCATGGCGTGATTGATGGTGAAGAAAAATCAGGCACGGTTGAGACTTGAAAGCGTATGTGTGGGCAAAATGTGGTGTCTACCTTATCCGAGTAATTGTTCTTGTACTTATTATGTGAGAGATCATGTCTTAGAGCCTTAGACAGTTGATACAGCATTTGGGCTGGATTTTTTCCTAGTGCTGTTGTAAATAGTAGGATACTTTAGAGCAAAAGCAGCGGCGTGTAAATGAAATGACACGCTTGCCAGCTCGGATAAAATTCCTTTTTGCCTCGCGTGTGCTTACCGTTTCTCCACGATAATCAAGTGAGGTGCGAGGCACCTTTTCTTGTCTACAGTACACTCCGGCCAACCAATTTCATTGGCTTTTTGTTTGTTTGTTTTATGTGGTGTAATATAATTTTTTTAAAGTAGAATTATGAAGTATTTTATTTTTAGAAAGAATTTTTTTAGATGTAGTGGAACTATTTTTTGATGTTGTTTTTTAATTTGTAAGTTTTATTTTTATTCTTTTACCAGTTATAAATAAAATTATTTTAAAAAAAAGAGTTTTGCATCATAATTCTAAAATGTAATCTAATTTGAGACGGAATGATAAACAAAAATATGGAGCATATAAGAAAAATAATTTTTATTCATTAAAATACATTTCAATACTGTCATTTTTTAATAAATAGAAATATTTTTATGTTAACATAATTAAATAGGTAAATATTTGTTAATAATTCAAAAATAGCAAGAAAATGAAAAAAGTAATAAAAATAGTGACTTGCCACTGCAGGGCATGCCACTCCACTTAGTTGTCACACGATGACTGGACTATTTTTCATTGGTTGAAATGTTCCATGTCAGCGTGTGGCATTCCATTTCTGCCTCACCAGCTCATGCTCTTAACCATTCCCCTCACGATCTCCTCTGCCACATCATCTTTTCTCAATCTTTCCAACCCATTAAAGATGCTCTTTGTGTTTTTAATGATTATTTTACTTTTATTTCTCTAACTTTACACATTCCTCATGTTCTACATTTTTTACATGATAAGCTACATAAATTTTACTCCCTCCGTCCCAAAAAGATTTACATCTTTAAAAAAAAATTACGTCCCACAATCTCCTACCCATTTCTATTAAAAACTACTTTTACCCCTTAGTTTTTCAAATCCTACCTATCACATCATACCTTTTTCCTAATAATCTACACATCACATCCTACTTTTTTCCATCACATCAAGAGTATTTTTGGAAAGTCAACACATATTTATCACTCCCTTAATTTCAACTTTAGTCAAAACGTTTAAATCTTTTTGGGACGGAGGTAGTAGTAGTTATCGATTTGAATTTCTTTAACTTATGTTATTTTTTAATGCTATGTCTAAAGTAACATTAGTGCATACATTTCCAACAAAAATATTATATTGTATTTCACAATGTATAATTATTCAAAAATACACGTTTTATATCTTAATGTTATACTCCCTCCGTCCCCAATTTGATTACAAATTACGGGTTACGGAGTAAAATTTCCTACTTTTTGAAATCATTTTATTTACAAATTGGTATATCAATAAGTTATAAAAATTACATATTAAAAAACTACGTCAAAAGTTCTACAAAATAAGAGGTGACAAGAATATTTTATTTTATCAAATATTTGATGAAATCGCGTAAACAAACAAAATTTATCGAAAGGAGAGAGAAAAAAAGTTATAATCAAATTAGGGACGGAGGGATTATCAGTTTGATCAAACTTTAGTAATTTAGTTCGATAAAGCAATGCATAATTTATACTCACGTGTTTGCCTACAATTCAATGCGATACTTTATTAGTGAACAAGCACTAATACAAAAATTTCGAAAAGAATCATGTATTTCTAGATCAAGCTAGAGAGATTATACATTTAAAATAATAAATAATCAATGCGGAGTATTTAACTATGAATTTGTACAAAAACCGTTACTATAGTCTATAGATATGATATATAATGAAAAAAAGAAGAGCATAGTTTCAAAAATGAGTAAGGCTTCGTTCCATTCAACTTATTTTTTTGAACTGATCTGATTTTTAGTAGTTCTGATATAATTTGATTTGAAAGAAGGCAAAATCCATTGCCTCTAGTTCAGGAGAGTCCGCCTCTGTTTCCGCTTCTCCCCGCGACGAAATCGACCGGGCAATGATTGAACAACTTCGGGCGTTCAATTTCCAGGAACAAGGGAGGTTGAAGCTGAAGGAGAAGGAATTGAAGCTAAAGGAGCAGGAGGCCGAGATGAAAGTCATGCAAACCGATCCCGGGACGTTGTCGGAGTTTGGACTAATGATCTACGAGCAAAGAATGAGAGAGATCAAGGAGAAATATAATTTACCATAGTTTTTTTTTATTAATGTATCTTTTTTTTTAAATTATTGTCGTTTTTTTATTTAATTAATGTTGATGGGAAATAATACGTGGCTCGGCCCACATTTCCCAATTATTTTACGAATAACAGTCAATCTTGGCCTGTTTAATACTCTCTCCGTCCTAAAACTTTTTTCCGAGAGCACTATTCTAACTTCACGAGAATTTATATTTATTTGTGTTTTTTCATGGCCTATATGATAAAATAAAATATTTTTGTCACCACTTGTTTTGTCGAACTTTTGATGTAGTTTTTAAATATGTATATTTTATTTTTTATTTCTATACCAATATTTAAATAAAATAGATTGAAAAAGAGGGTTTGCCCCAATAAGAGAATATTCTCCGAATATGCTTCCCCTTCTCCCCTATGAAAAAAGGGTTTGCCCCAATGTTAAGGAAGGCAAAATCACACTCTCTCCCTGCCATTTACTCTTTCTCTCTCTAGATAGTATATTTTTCTTCTTCTTCAAGAGCTCAAATGCTCCATTAATGGCTTCCGAGCCCATTTCATGTACCATGTACACACCCCTGATATTAATAAAAATTCCCCGTTGGCAAGGTACCGCCAAAAAAGGCCCGTGATTTTCTCCCGATTTGGGTTTCCACGTAAAAATCCTCGTGTTTATATTTTGGTGTATTTTTAGACTAGTTTATCATTTTTGCCGGGCTAAAAACGATATACCGGTCGATAATTTACACCATCATTTTGGCGCTGACCGTGGGATTCGAACAAAAAAGTTGTGTTTTTTTGTTCGGCCAATTTTTTCTCTTACCACACAAAGTGGGCAAAAAAAAAAAGGGAGAGAGCAGTCTATTCAAAAAAAAAAAAAAAGAGAGAAGAAGAGAGATGCTGGGTAAGTGGGGAAGGAACGAAGAAGGTAAGGGAAGAAAAGGGGAAAAATTGGGGGCTTTCCTTCAAAATCCAAAATGGCAAAGAGGAGTCGCCGCCCCACAAATATTGCATGAGTTGCCGGCCTCCCCCAATTGGTCCAGCCGTATCACCAAAATCGTCGTCACCATCGAAGAACTTGATCTTTGCCGCCATCCCTAGTCGTAGCCCACTTCGTCCCCAGGTGAGTCGCGCCATCACCGGCTCGCCGTTAAAGCCAGCGCCACCACCGTTCCTGGCGAGAGGGAGATGTTTGTTGGGATGGTGTGGAATTGCGCAGCGGATCTGAAGATCCTCCTCACCGCTGCTCAGACCCCCCGACGCCACTACAAAGATTTGGGGACATCCCCACCACTGGAAGCAAACCATCACCACTGCCGAAATTCAATTAGTATGGCCAGAGTATATCACCACGGTTGCTCATATGCTCTGGGCAAATTGAATTCAGCCGCGACCATGGATGGTTTCTACCCTTGAAGTTTAGATTTGCTGTTATCGGGTTGCTCCAATCCGCCAACATCGTATCACTAAAGCCACCGTCACAGATGTGGGATGCTGAAGCCCTTCACCACCGTGACTGCATCAATATGCCGCTGCTGTTTCCGGGACTTTACGCGATGGCCTGGGGAGGATCCTTTCCAGATCTGATCAATTTTTTGCTTGGATGAAGCAGCACTAGAGGACATGTCGATTGCCCACATGGTCTAGGTCGACCATCTATCATCGGTCTCTTTCCCCCGATTGGAGACGTCCACCACCGATGTTCAAGTCCACTTTCAATTCGGATGCTGCCTCTACGGACAACCGCCATTGACGGACCTAATATTGGAGCTTGACCCTCTGTCGCTGCAATCTTCTTAGTTGTAAAAGGAAAATAAAACCACTTATAATTAGTAAGTGGAGTCACGGTTTGCAGCTGCCGATCTCCGCTATCAGAAAAACCACCGTATACACAAGTGGTGGTTGATGGGAAACACTACCTGAACTAGTGGCATAAACAAGGCGAGTTAAGTTACAAGTGGAAAAGACAAAGAGGAACCATCATTTTGAACTATGGAATATGTGTGGTTCAAACATTTTGTTCCCAATACTCTCGTGGTTTATTCACTCAAAGCGAAGATGGTGGAGTACATTGCTTCTGGGGGGACCCACTTCTATCCTTGATCAGTGGAGCACTTCATGGGAAAAACTCCAAATGCTTACATATCAAAATCTTTGTACAGAGTATATGCAAAGAGGAGACGGGCCAAAGTGAAAGAGGACAACAACTGCAAAAAAGAAGATAAAATAAGAAGTGGAAGATGGGATGGCAAATTGGAGTAATAATGAGAATTGTGGGGGCCATTGACTCCATTATATGGAATAATTAAGAGGCTCCTCGAGAAAAATCGGGTGGTTTCCCTCACTTGGAAAAAACACAAACATTAATTCCTCAATTGGAATCCCAAATTCCCCACTAGGAAAATCGCATGTATTACATGCAAAAGTGTTTTTTTTATTTTATTTTTAAAAATGTCAAATCTCAAATTCAATTATCCACCCCTTCTCATTCTTATTCAATATTCTCTTCGTTTCATAGTATTTATCCACTTTTATTTTTACACACCATCGAATGCACTTCTTTAATCCATTTTATCTTGTAATTTGTATATTAAAAAATTATAGAAATTTTATATTAATAATCTATATGTTAAAAAAAATCAAACAAGATCACACATGACTATATTTATTAGGCTTACACATTGAGAGAATTTGATGAGTCAAAATGCCTAGATGAACAGTTCTAAAAGTCAAAAGTGAACAAAAACTGGGGAACGGTGGGAGTACAAAATTCTTACTCCATTTGTTCTTGAAAACTGATTCCTAGTTTGACTAATTGTAAAAATAAAAAAGTGTCAAATTGTAATTGACTTTCGATTTTGTATTTTGTGTGATAGATAAGTTATTAGAGAAAAAGTATGATATTAAAGATGAGATATGAAACAATAAGGATAAAAATGGTTTTTTATTAACAATAGAAGTGTTTTGTTGGAAATAGAAAAAATAAAAGATGAAATATTTGTTTAGACCGGAGGAACATTCCTTTGAATAATAACTAAGAGATATTTGTACTAAATAGTACTAAAACGTAAGTCATTTCCCTAAGTAGCACTAAAACATTAGTCATTTTCCTAAACCCATACAAATATACAATACTCCTATTTTGGGGGTTTTATCTTTTAACTCCTATTTTGGGATTTAATCAATGTTTTACTCCTTATTAACCCATACAAATATATAAAATAAAATATATGCTTCTCATCTCAAATTAGAATGTACTTTTGAAAAGATTGATTAAATCCCAAGGGTATGAGCCATGAGAGTTTGTGAGTGTCTTGTCAAACACTTGAAATGCCTCCTTTTTTTCTCACTTTTCAAAATATCTCAAATTTAAGCCACGAGAGTGGTGAGAAGAAAAAACATTTTGGAACTAGCTAGTTTGTTCTTTCTTTGATTGCAACGATGCTAGTATGATGTGTAGGGATAATTTTTTCACAAGTAATTGCAGAGGCATAAAAAAGAGCCGTCTCCAAATGAACAAAACAACTTGGGTTCACAAAGTTTATAACTGGAGCTTAAGATCTTCCACAGCTAATTCCAAAAAGTGGCAACATCAACTACATCATCACGTCAAATAAAACTACACTTTTACTAAACATATCAAAACATATAGAAATAGAAATATCAACAGTAAACCCTCCACAACAAAGAATGAATCATTGAATTGAAGTCCTAGGCCTCCCCCGCCATCTCCATCATCTTCACATCTGAGCCCATTGCCTTGAAAGATCTTCTATGGTTTCCTGATGCAATGGAAATATACTGTAGCATTAGCATTAGCATTTCCAGAGTTTCTTTTTTTTATTTTTTATAAACTCCCTCCGTTTGGAAAAACCCTTCCCACTTTGATTTGGGAGCAAAAATAAGGAAGTGTTAAATTATACAAGTAATTGATTTCCAATTTTGTCCTGATGTGATGGGTAAAAGTAAGATGTGATGAATAGATTATTAGAGAAAAAGTATGACGTGATAGGTAGGGTATGAAAAAAGAGGGTAAAAGTGGTTTTTTAATAGAAAGGGGAAGTGTTTTATTGGAAGTGGAAAAAATGAAAGAGGGAGTGTTTTTGAGAACGGAGGGAGTAGTTGATTGTCACCAAAGTGTGTAATACTGTAGTATAAAATCCAGGGGGTATTTCTTCTTGGGTATAACCGCATAGAAACAAAGTGAAGTCTATGATGTTTTGACCACATATAAGCTTTAGAATAAATGAAGACAAGTAAATAGTTTTCATTTCCAAGGAGAGTGGAGTACCAGGGAAACCGTATGCTGAAACTGTTGCTCAGGAATGCAATCTAAAATACATCAAAGCCAATGAGATTAACGACAATCTGGTAGCAAAACTCACAAGTGAAGATATCATAGAACCTTCCGGGTATTGGGATTCTACTCTGAATTCATTGTTATGTTTAAGATTGAAGAAGATAGACATGGCGCTTGTAAAAGGAAATATTACCATTTTAATGGTCCAAAAAGGGAAGCCAGGGAAGAAGGTAGATATCCTTGAGTTGAAAGATATACCCATCTCGATGCAGTTCCTAGATTTTAAAATGTTTAAAAATAATTCTTTTTTTAACAATTTTTTTTAAATGTTATAAACATTATAAGCACAATTTTAAAAAGAAATTTGACAAACCTTGATTAATAAAAGAAAAAAAATAAAGGAAAAAAGGGAAAAAAATAAACAAAAAATAAGAAATGAGCACCAGTGCCGCCTATGGTTTGGAAAATAAGCACCGATACCCTTTTTTTCGGCGAAAAAGTAGCCGGCAATTTATCAGACGGGGTATGAGTGCAACGCTCTGAAACCACAGGGACTTTAGAAATAAACTTTGAGAATAGGGCGGTATTGGTGCTATTTTCCAAACCACAGAGGTACTAGTGCAATTTGGCCTTCAATAGTCTTTTGTTCTAATTCAATAAAATTGAATGCAGTTGGTGAATACAAATGAGTGCTAAACTCAGTGAAATTATTTGAAATTCAATCAATTTTATCATTAATTAGATGAAATTGAATAATACTTCGTATTACATTAAATTGAAATGAAATTGAATGCATTTGGTTGAAGTTAGATTAAATTAAATCCAATTGGATGAGATACAATATATACAAATTCGAATCAAGTATATCCAAGGCTAAAATGTAAATTGGAACAATGTTTTGTTCCCATCAAAATATAATTGAGTTTAATGAGATGAAAATTAATTAAGGTTAAGTAAAAATTAGTGAAATTCATTCATTTAATGCCCGCTGGTTTAGATTGAATGTGATTGGGTAAAAATTGAGTGAAATTTTATGAAATTACATACAATTTGGTTAAAATGTGCTAAAATTGGGTGAGATTGAATGTAATTAGATAAAATTTGAGTGATATTAAATGCAATTCAGAGCCCACGGTTTGCCAACCACTCTACTAAGAGCTCTTGTTTGAGAGAGGTGAAAATTTGCCCTTCTAACCGTGCTCTTGTTTGTATAAATTTTAAGATAATATTTCTTATGTAAGTTTTATTTTAAATTTTTATACTAATTTGTAAATAAAATACACATGATGTAAGACTTCCCATTGCGCGTTATGATGTAAGACTAACGTTATTTTCAAATCATTTTATATGAAAATAGGGAGAAATTAAAAAATAAAAATTGCATATTAAAAACTATATCAAAAGATCTACAAACCTAGAGGTGACAAGACTATTATTTTATCAAATTGGCAAAGAAAATGGGCCAACAAAGTGAAAAAAGTTTGACCCTGTGAATAGTGAACGAGAAGATAATTTTTGGATTGAGAGAGTATAAGTATATAACTACTTCAAGAGGTAAAATAGAATTAAAAATTTAAAACCACATGGACGTAATTGTTCAACATAAATTTAATATGTTTATTGTGTTTCAAGTATAATCGGTTTCAGATCTTATCGATTTTGAGTCTTATCGGTTTCGGATATTATCAGTTTCAGATTTAGTCCATCGGATCTAATTGGTTTTGGATTTAAATCGGGTATGGATATATTTTGTTCGGTTTCAATTCGATTCAGATCATTACGATTATTTGATTATAGATCAGATTTTCACCTTTTAGATCATTTTAGTTTCGGTTACGGATCATTCAGTTCAAGTAATCGGTTCTGGTTCTGACTTTTGGAATGTAAGGGGACTCAACAGCCCCAATAAACGATTTGAAATAAAGGACTTTATCAATAAGTTATGACATTGGTCTTATGGGTTTACTTGAAATGAAGATCAGAGAAAATAACTACAAGCAAATAAGGAATAAGATGTTTCCTACCTTGCGGCCTCATATTAACAATAATATGAATCATTTGGGGAGGATCTGGATAATATGGAATCTGGGGATTTACTCACTCAAGATGGAATATATGTATGACCAATTTATCCATTGTAGATGCAGAAGGTATGGGGAGGATAAAAGCTTTTATAGTACCTTTATTTGTGGGAAAAATGAGAGTCTAAATAGGAAAGCACTTTGGGAGGATTTAAGTAGATTTCAAGCTATAAACCAAGCTTGATGTGTTATAGGAGATTTTAATAATGTTCTCTCAACAGAAGGTCGGATAGGGGGAACCCCAGTAACATGGGAGGAAATTAAAGAGTTTAGAGAGTTCTTGGCTCTATGCAGATTAGAAGGAATACCAATTGAAGGAGGTTTTTACACATGGTTTAGTAGATAGTGTGTTGGGAAGAAGATCTTCTCCAAAAATGATAGAGTTTTGGTAATGTTGATTGGTTTCTCAAATATGGGAGCATGGCAGTGTTAAAAAAAGAGGGGTTATCACATCATACCCCTACTATTCTCCCCAGAGTTCAAGATAAAAAAAAAGTAGTACAATTTTAGGTTCTGATATGTGGGTTCTAGATCCTAGTTTGTAGTTTCCCTGATTTGGTGGCTATGGTTTGGAACAAGAAACATAATGGCAGACCTATGCATATTCTGATGCAAAAGCATGAGGAAGTGAGGAACGTAAGGGTTACCATAGAGCACTTAATAAGGATAAATTCAGAAATATTCACTAGCAATGCGAGGTTGTCAGAAAACAACTACATGAGGTTTAAGGTGAGCTAAAGAAGGACATTTACAATAGTGGGCTGATGAGTAAGGAGAGGGAGTTGATTTTGGAGCTGAATACTAAGTTGAAGGCCTGTTATATCATATGATGAAGTGCCAACAATAAGATTGTATCAATGAAGGAGATCAGAATAATGGATTCTTATTAGCTTGTAAACATCTCCTGCGCACATGGCAGAAAATAACTGCACCACAAAAATAATTCCATGTTACCATCCTAAATATCCTGGCCAGATTCCTTTAAAAAAATAACCACCATTCAGCTTAAATAATAACCCTAACCATATGTATTCAACCCCAACCACCTGGCCGAAATATTCAACAATCAAAAACACTCGCCATATGCACACATTATGTAACGCCCTCAAATCGGCCTAGTTTTAAATAAATAAATATTATTTATTTATTGAGACTCATTATTTTAAATTAATAAATATTTAGATTTTGATCTCTTTAAATGGCTTTCCAAAGCTAATGTATTTTAATATAAAAAGATGTTTTAATAACGGACCTCTCAACATTAATTAAATAAATTAATTAATGATTGGGGTGGACCCGGAAGTTTGAAAATAAAGTTCTTAGAAAAATCATTTGAACATGTCATTCAGTTCGTTTTGACTGTCTGATTCCGGAAACACAAACGGATCTCAATTTGGATCAGTTCGGGGGGAAAATCGCGTACCGTTCAGGTCAGATTTTATACAACGGAACGAATTTAGGGAGGTAACTCCCTAATTATATCACACGCCACCACCACCCATTCATTTTCTTCATCTTAATTCTCCATTATTATTCATTACTCCACCACCATTATATACAACCCTCTCTCCTCCCTTTCCTCCACCACACTTGTAACTCCCAAGCACTCATTACACCCTCTTCCTCTCCCCTTGCACTTTCGGCCAAGGCAGCAGGCCAAGGGAATCTCCGGCGTAGCTCCGGTGGGTGCACAGTGGAAGGAGAAGAAGGAGAAGAAGAGCTAGGCCGTTCGTGCGAAGCGTGGTCATCATTCCTCGTCATCTTCGTAGTTTCAACGCATCGTTTAGAGGTGAGTAGTTGTCCCCTCTAATTCTAGAACATTTAGTTATAATCTATTTCGTTATATTCATAGAAATATCGTACGCAACCTACGTAGAATCTATGCATGTTCGTAGGTTAACCATCAAACGTTCACCACGTAAAAATCATATATATTGGCCTAGGAATCACTAGGAATATATTCATCAATGTTTACATTGTTGTTCTAAAAAGAATTATGGTGTTAAGTTTGCAAAAAGGATCAAAACGTAGCCAAGGACAGAAGACTGTCACTGGGACGGTGGATCGTTACTTCAGACGGTGGACCGTACCCTCGGCCAATCTAACGGTCACCGCCGGGACGGTCGACCGTCAGCCGCGACGGAAGACCTAGGTGGACCGTTTGTGACCCAGACCCAGACCATAGCCCACGGTTGACCGCCGGTAGGTCACGGTCGATCGTTCCGCGGGCAGAATTTCGGGCAGTTTGTAGAACGAGCACCGTTGACCATATTGACCCAGAATCTATTTGTCTTTTTTCATGAAATGTTAATCTACAATATGTATGTTATTTAATTGATATATTCTTGGTGTTGACCAAAGGTAAATATATCAAGCACTCATCATGTTCATTCTAGACGCATGTCCTAGGTTTATCATCATGTGCATACCACTGTAGGGAGGTCAGGCTTTCGTGCGCCTACTACAGTGGGCCCGTCCAGGAACCTTTGGGAACCAACGGGTTTTCATCAGGTGGGCTTTGTGTACGTACATGGTAGTCAGGCTACGGCTACCACCCAATTTTTGCTAGTCCACTTGCGACATTTTGTCGAGCCCGGCTCATTACCGTTGTGGTATGATAACCGGAGTGCAGGGGTGATCCTGTCAAGTGAGACTAAGCCAAGGGTGTTCCTGATAGTTTAAGTCATGCATCAAGTCATATCGTCATCATGTATATTCCACGTCACATCAACATTGAATGTGGTTGTTATTCATTTTGTTATGTGTAATAATATCCCATCAAGTGCAAATTAATTAGTTAGTAAACATGTGGTTTTACGTACGTTAAGTACAGGCATTAATATGTGTATAATCATATGGGTTATCACTTCATGTTCTTTTGTTAGATTCACTCCTTAGCTTTTGCTGAGCGTGTAATTGTTTTTGCTACACACATGTAGACATGACGGTACGGGCCTGGAGGACAGTGAGGATGGGAGGATGGGAGGTGCACGGACGAGCTTTAACATTTATTTACATTTAATTAATTAATCATTTGGGAAAGAACCCACCATTTGTCGTTTCACTTTTTTTGGACTTATTTATTTACTTTCGCTTTTACTCTGCATTTATACCACACACGTTTTGGAGTTAACTCTCTAGCATTTATTTCACCTAATAATCACAACCGTTTTCAAAATAAATGGACATTAATGTTCTTTTCTCTACGGACGGTTCTTGGACCTCCCATGTAACCCTACCGGTTCGTTGGGTCACGGGTGAACCGGGTCCACGGAAGGCGGGTGTTACAATTTGGTATTAGAGAAGTTCGGTTCTTGTGAAGAGTAAAAAAATAAAAAAAACATATTTTGTCATCTTGGTCAAAAGGTATTTTAAGAAAAAAAGTCCACAGCCGCATCTCCCATCGCATCACGCCCATGGAAAGGTACACCGTTATTTAATTCATTTATATGTCATATTGTAATTAGTTCCGATTTAAGTTCTTCTCATAAGAGAATGAGCCAAGCAGCAGGCAACGACGGACAGGCTGTCCCACAGGGGGAGCCTGAGCACGTGAGCACACATCGAAGCGTCATACTAATTGCGTTATATGCTCACTTGTTCCCCTTTTGATACTCTGCGATTGTTAGATGAGTACCATTAGTACCAGAAGCGTTGACTCCAGTCGAACCTTCGTGCCTGGTAAGAGACGAAAGAACAAGAGGCAAAGTTATGATTCGAAAGAGCGCTACCAACGTGCACATCGCAAGGTTCGCATAGCAAGGTTAAGAATCTGGAAGCGCCGGAAGGCAGCATGGGAAAGAGATGATCCAGAGGAAACGTTCAGCGTGGACTCTGCCAACAGTATATGCGGCACATGTGTGGATATTTCTTCAGTGGACTCAGCCCGACTAGACTAGTGGGTTACCTGCTAACTTATGACATAGTCGAGGTTGTAATCGATGCAACATCTTGCCCACTTGTCCCAACCAAATATGTTCCTTGAATGAAATCCGTCAATTGGTCTTTAATCTATTATGCCCTCGTATGCTTCACAAAACAAAGTGTTGGGTAACGCACTATCTCGCTAAACACGTGAGGTGCGACTTGGAGAGAATTTCGGGGACGAAATTCCTTTAAGGGGAAATAATTGTAACGCCCTCAAACCGGCCTAGTTTTAAATAAATAAATATTATTTATTTATTGAGACTCATTATTTTAAATTATTAAATATTAGATTTTGATCTCTTTAAATTGCTTTCCAAAGCTAATGTATTTTAATATAAAAAGATGTTTTAATAACGGACCTCTCAACATTAATTAAATAAATTAATTAATGATTGGGGTGGACCCGGAAGTTTGAAAATAAAGTTCTTAGAAAAATCATTTGAACATGTCATTAAATTCGTTTAAAATGTCTGATTCCGGAAACACAAACGGATCTCAATTTGGATCAGTTCAGGGGGAAAACCGCGTACCGTTAAGGTCAGATTTTACACAACGGAACGAATTTAGGGAGGTAACTCCCTAATTATATCACATGCCACCACCACCCACATTTTCTTCATCTTAATTCTCCATTATTATTCATTACTCCACCACCATTATATACAACCCTCTCTCCTCCCTTTCCTCCACCACACTTGTAACTCCCAAGCACTCATTACACCCTCTTCCTCTCCCCTTGCACTTTCAGCCAAGGCAGCAGCCCAAGGGAATCTCCGACGTAGCTCCGGTGGGTGCACAGTGGAAGGAGAAGAAGGAGAAGAAGAGCTAGGCCGTTCGTGCGAAGCGTGGTCATCATTCCTCGTCATCTTCGTAGTTTCAACGCATCGTTTAGAGGTGAGTAGTTTTCCCCTCTAATTCTAGAACATTTAGTTATAATCTATGTCGTTATATTCATAGAAATATCGTACGCAACCTACGTAGAATCTATGCATGTTCGTAGGTTAACCATCAAACGTTCACCACGTAAAAATCATATATATTGGCCTAGGAATCACTAGGAATATATTTATCAATGTTTACATTGTTGTTCTAAAAAGAATTATGGTGTTAAGTTTGCAAAAAGGATCAAAACGTAGCCAAGGACAGAAGACTGTCACTGGGACGGTGGATCGTTACTTCAGACGGTGGACCGTACCCTCGGCCAGTCTAACGGTCAGTGCCGGGACAGTCGACCGTCAGCCGCGATGGAAGACCTAGGTGGACCGTTTGTGACCCAGACCCAGACCATAGCCCACGGTCGACCGCCGGTAGATCACGGTCGATCGTTCCGCGGACAGAATTCCAGGCAGTTTGTAGAACGAGCACCGTTGACCATATTGACCCAGAATCTGTTTGTCTTTTTTCATGAAATGTTAATATACAATATGTATGTTATTTAATTGATATATTCTTGGCGTTGACCAAAGGTAAATATATCAAGCATTCATCATGTTCATTCTAGACGCATGTCCTAGGTTTATCATCATGTGCATACCACTGTAGGGAGGTCAGGCTTTCGTGCGCCTACTACAGTGGGCCCGTCCAGGAACCAACGGGTTTTCATCAGGTAGGCTTTGTGTACGTACATGGTAGTCAGGCTACGGCTACCACCCGATTTTTGCTAGTACACTTGCGACATTTCGTCGAGCCCGGCTCATTACCGTTGTGGTATGATAACCGGAGTGCAGGGGTGATCCTGTCAAGTGAGACTAAGCCAGGGATGTCCCTGATAGTTTAAGTCATGCATCAAGTCATATGTGTATAATCATATGGGTTATCACTTCATGTTCTTTTGTTAGATTCACTCCTCAGCTTTTGCTGAGCGTGTAGTTGTTTTTGCTACACGTATGTAGACATGACGTTACGGGCCTGGAGGACAGTGAGGATGGGAGGATGGGCGGTGCACGAACGAGCTTTAACATTTATTTACATTTAATTAATTAATCATTTGGGCAAGAACCCACCATTTGTCATTTCACTTATTTTGGACTTATTAATTTACTTTCGCTTTTACTCTGCATTTATACCACACACGTTTTGGAGTTAACTCCCTATCATTTATTTCACTAATTAATCACAACCGTTTTCAAAATAAATGGACATTAATGTTCTTTTCTCTACGGACGGTTCTCGGACCACCCATGTAACCCTACCGGTTTGTTGGGTCGCGGGTGAACCGGGTCCACAGAAGGCGGGTGTTACACATTTAAATCATATCTCTTATAAACACTTACACAACTTGCGTGGCAGCATTCTTATCCTTAGCTCGGTATGGTCCAGGCATAATGGAAGAAGCCTAAAACAGAATAATAAAAATCGAATCAATGAAATTGCTAATGAAACCAAAATTTGTTGTAGAATGCATCTAAAAATCTTTACAGCGCTATTCACGAGAGCCACCCCCACGGCCACAGGGTCAGACCCACCATCCAAAATATGAAAACCTGATTCGATCCATTTCCTGAAGGTGCCCGAGTGCAGGTCTACCCCCTGTAATTAGAGGGTTTAATTTATTACTGAATAGATTTTAAAAAAAATTTAATTAAATTAAGTGTTAAATAAAAATAACGTACCATGCTAATTGCCCCCTCGTATTGGAGGGGGTTTATAGATTCCCAGTCGGGAGCGCCATAGAGGATGAAAACCACATTCCTATCCATGCGCTCGCAAAGAACGATTGAACCCTTCTTCCCTCAACTAAATTGGATTCTGCGCATAAAATGAAGAATCTTCTACATCGCGTTGCTGGAGAGGCGTCGGAACTTGTGGGCGGGCAAGATTGGGTACGGCGGCGCCGCCGGCACTCTTCCCTCTTCTCGGATATAATCTGTCTAATCAGCGGAGGTGGCTGGGGGCGCTCCATTGCGTGCCTGAGAGCGTGCTTCCTCTTTTTGTTTGCCAAATAGAAATCAAAGACTTCTTGCTCGATCTTTCCCCGCCCATTACTACTGCTACTTTCCATACTGGGGAGACTCGATCGATGGTTATGGTTGGGAGGAAGGACGGGGAGACGGGAGAGAATCATTTCACCGATACATTTAATATTTATATATTCTCCCAAATTTCATTTCTTATCTATTCTTTTTTAGGCATAGCAAAAATATTTACTAACGGAATTATATTTTATTTACTCTTTTAATAATACGGAGTATTAAAATAAATAAATACAAGAGCCTATATCGTATCAGAATTATATTATATTTTATATTTTTAATACTACATTATAAAAAATGATCACTTTTAAAATCAACGTGGGACGATAGAAGTGTGTGGGAGAAAAATCAGATTTTTCATAGAATTAAAAATAATTTCATTGCACACATGCATGACGCAACTTAGTTAAAATACTTGATTTTCCAATTATATGCAATTTTACTATTTAAAAATTACATTGATTTTATATAAATCATTTATTATATAATATTTGAGACTCCTCTCATACAATTTCGGCACGTGGCGAGTTATTCGTCATTTTTTAACAAGTCATTCGCCACCTACTTATTATTGTAATGAGTTGGCAATTTTAATCAATATACGGAATAACGATTAGGAAACATTTTAAATTATTTTTTTATTGATGAACATAGTGACAATATACAAAGTAATTTTAAAATAAAATTTTACTATTTAAAAATAACAACCTTTACTACTCCTTCCGTCCAAAATTAAAGTTCTCACTTTCCTTTTCAGGACGTCCACAATTAATGTTCCCGTTTCTGATTTAGGAAACTTTTCCTTGTTAAAATGACTAAAATACCCTCCACTTCCTATTCCTCTTTATCTTTTTCTTTCTCTTTCTTTCCCTGTGCAGAATTGCAGCCACCCCCCCTTTCTTTTTCTTCATTTCTTCTTCCTTACATTCTTTTTCTCTCCAGCACCTTCTCTTCTCTCCTTTTTTCTTCTCTCTAGCCGAATCTTTCTTCTCTTCTTCTTCTTCTCTATTTTTCTATTGTTCTCTACTTTTCTTCCTCTTTACTTTCTTCTTCCCTCCCCCTTTTACTCTGCTCGACCGACGGAGTTTTATTTTTTTTTACTTCTCTTGTTCTTCTTCTTTCGTTTCCTCCTCCCCCCCTTCAGATTCATCAGATCATTCAAATCTCCGTTAGATCTAAGCACTTTGCTTCAGATCTGGGTTCGATTCAGATCTGTGAAGCAACTCAGCATCAACGAAAGTTCTTCTTCTTCCTCTTCAAGTCATCTTCAGTTTTTCTTCTTCCTCTTAAAGGTCGTCTGCGAGAATTCTGAAATTTTGAAGTTGGGGGAAATTTCTGGAAATTTGATTAATTTTGTCACTAAGTTTTGCTCTTGCCGATTCTGGTCTTCTGGAATAATGGGAGAGGGGGTGTGGTTGGACGGCAGTATGGGTGGCCAGGGGTGGGTAAGTGGAGTAAGGTGGAGGGTATTTTGGGAAAGTCAAAGCAGATTTTAAGTTTTATTAAACTCCGTGCCAAGTCAAAATGGGAACTTTAATTTTGGACGGAGGGAGTATAATAAAGAACACTCCGATTCACAAGAATTCGACATTTGGCGTGTTATCCGGTTTAGTATCTGTGCCCACGCCTTAGAGGGGGGTGAATAAGGCGTTTGAAAACTTTTCGGAGTTAAATAAAAATTGGTGTTGGCAAATGCGGAAACAATATATAAAATACAAAAATAAAAAAGTATAAAGAAAATGCACACCAATTTTATACTGGTTCAGGAACTCCCTTCTCCAGTACCTTAAGGCTCCTCCTTAAGGATTTTCAATCCACTAGAACGCCTTGACCGTCTCAACACGATAGTCACGACGGAACCAGTTTTTTGCAAAAAAACCTTTTCCAATAGGTTTACACTAGATCGACAATACTTCACGCCTTGAAGTATCCAACTAGTTTTGAGGATTTTCCAACAGCTATCCCCAACCGTGCACCGAAGATTTGCAGGATGTCTTCAACCTAGAGATTTGCAACGGCTATCTCCAACCGTCTTAACAAGGATTTCACGGATGCCCTTGACCGCTTCCGGAGATTTCACCACGGCTATCTCCAACCGTTCAATGAAGATTTTGCAACGGATATCTTCGACCGATTACAAAGATATGAGAATTTGAATGAATCAACACCCCCTCAAGAATATAAATTACAAAGTCGGGTCGGTGTGATAATATCTATACACTCTAGAATTAAAACTCTCTTATAGATGATATGAGTGTATATCTCTTTGGATCAAGCTCAATGTGAGTTCAAGAAAATATATTGAAAAATGGTTCTGTTAGAGTTAGTGACCAACGCTAGAGGGGGGTGAATAGTGTTTGATCGTAGAAATCGCAGAAATAAAAAAATTAAGAACGAGAAACGTAAAGAGCGAAGAAAGCGTAAAGGGAGCACACTAAGATTTATACTGGTTCACCACAACGTGTGGCGAATCCAGTCTCCCGAGAGACTCTCTCGAGCTACACTACTTCCGTTAAGCTTACGGGTGCTTAACAAACCGTTACAACCTGAACGTCAATTTTTTTCCACCGGAAAAATAAAGAGTTGTCTATCTCTGTAGAACATTCCTTGTCGGACAATTTCTTCATGAGTTATATTCTTCATTGAGAAGGACATCCTTCTAATTAGGATGACGGGAGTGACTTACGGCCAAATAGACCCAAACAATTGGTGCGACACTTTCCACAAAAAAATTTGGATTTGTTTCTGCGGCAAGGTGAAGGGTAGAAAGGGTATGGAATGCTAATGATTCTTGTGATTCAATATGGGTAGGGTTTAGGTTTGAGGTGTTGTCAGCTTGGTGTTGGTAGGAAATTTGGATTGGAGGAAGAACAACGGCACAACGAGTGGCTATGGTGGTGCCGCCCGCTAGGTGCGAAGACTGAAAATTTTAGGTCGATCGCCAATGACTTGCCTCTGATACCATGTGAAAATAATCAAGAGGAGAAAATACTTGTGTATTGAATTGTCTTAAAGATTACAAAGGTATAACCCTCTTTATATAAGAAGAGAATAAAGCATATAAGTAAACTTCTATTCCTACCATATTTCTATTTCTATTAAAACAAGAATTTAGAAAACTAGGAAAGATATTAAACCGAAATCCAACAGAATTCGATTTCCTTCATCTAATATCTCACGTAAACACTTACCTAAGTTAAATGTTTTATCGATGACCTATAGTCATTTAGCACAATCTATTTACTCTACCTATTACGAGAAACCTTAAGAATAAACTGCTCATCTTCAATATTCATCTATACATATATAAAGTTATAGTGTGTTCTAGAAAGGCAACTTGGAGTACCCAATATCAACTTCTGGCACAGGTATGGTTAATCTACTAGTAATATTTTTTTCATTTAAATCAAGATCAATGTGTATATATTCATATTGAACACTTTCTTTTATAAGATTTCCATCACCCAAAAGGTGCTACTTGTATTGGGTGCCTCAAGGGAAGATTCCTCAAGAACTCGAAGACCAACTCCTGCATTTCCTCAAGCTCATTCGAGAGTCCGGATGATCGTCTGTGAGACCCATAGGTAGAATTTTGTTTTTGCTCCTCAATCGGCATTGATAATCACCGTAAGTGTATGAGCATCCAAATGGCGTTCAAAGTTGAGGAGCAACCAATCTGTCACGCAATTTTGAGCTGCAACTGCATCCCTAAAGTTTTGTTGTTCGCTGATGCTTTTGGTTGCATAAAGGCTCCGATGAGTCCCATAACTAGATGTCAGACAGAAATGCAAGTGCAGTGAAGATGCAACTTTGTAGATGCTCATTTGGAGGACTGTTGTATGCAATTGTTAGAAGTTACTTAACATAAATGACAGTGCCCTAAAAACATGTAGTAAGGTTGCACAATATAGATTGGGATTAGCACTCTAGTACTTTCAAAATACAAGTATTTTCTAAGTTGTGCAAAATTTCAATAGGATTGTTGTAATTTTGGTTTTAGTTTTTTTTTCTTTTCTGGTCAATCTTGTTAGGGTTTATCAGGAGGAGCCAATACATATTTGTCGTCTTCTCTCCTTCCCTTCCACAATCCATAGCTGATCTTGCCCTCTGATCTCCATTTTGCTCTGTTATCTTCTCTCACACTCTCTTCTTAAAAAATGAAGAAATGGTTCACTTTCAGCGCGACGAGAGAGATGGCTGAGTACTGGGAAAAGGAATCCGACGAGAAAGATCAGAACATCCGGAAAAAGCTTTGAGGGACACTTTCAAAGGCGGGATTAATCGCCGGAACTGCTGAGAGCGTGGCCCAAATCAGCGGTGCCATTGCTTCATCCACCAAACATGGCATCCGAAAGACTATGGAGAGCATTCAATCTCGATACGTGGCTCATCCCTCAACGGGGGAAATGTTGAAGCGCATTGATGAGGTTGGGCGTTAGGGCAGCGACAATGGCAGCGTTTCGATCAATGGCAGTGGCAGCGGGGGAGGGGCTAACGAGGAAAAGAAGAACGGAGAAAAGGGAAATGGGGGATGGACTGATGAAAAAAGAAGAATGGAGAAAACGGTGGCGGTGGTGGAGGAAATGGTGGCGGCGGGGGGTAAGCAGCCCAGCGATGGTCACAATGGGGAAAATGGGGCGTTTGATGCTCCGCCACCGCTCTCCACAGATCAAGAGACTTTTCTCATCTGAGTCAAAGTGAGCCGTCGTTCCATTTTTGTTATTTGTACTGTATTTGATTTATTTATTTATTTACTGTGTGGAATAGATATTGTAGTCAGAGTAATATTTTTATTATTAATTGTTTTTTGAATTTCTATGTATGCAGAGCCGCCTAAGCTAAGGAAAATGCGGATGTCCGATGATGGGGATGAAGAAGAATTTGCTGGATGGATCTGTTCATCTTTCATTTTGGTTGAAGCATTTAATAATTTTGGATTTTAACTAGTGATTGTGTTGGACAATTTTTTTAATTAATCTTTGTCAAGTTATTTATTATCTAAGACTGATTTGGTAGCTTTATTTTATCCATGAGGGGGGGGGGTTTGACTCGGGGTTGGATGAGTTCAGAACCACCTGTCCATGGATTTAATTAGAATATATATAAATATTTTACTGTTCTTATTTCTTGTGGAGATTGTTGGAAAACATTTTCACTTTGACATTTTGCTAATGACAATGTTTGTTTCCGTTTAGGTTTTGATATTGACAAACCATTGGGAACATGGAACAAAATCAAAAGATTCAAAGAGATAGAAAAAGTTTTTTGAAGAAACAAAAAGCACAAGAAAGGCATTGACGTTGCTAAAGATGTCGATATTGGCGCTTTGAAGACGTATTCTAAAGACTTAGGTTTTATTGTAACAAGCTCATTCAATTTCTCTACGTCATGGCTCAAAACAAAATATGTTTTTTCATGCATCAAATTAGTGTTTTCACAAATGGTTTTTAAGTTTCTAAAACCCATGGTTCTTGCTTAACAAAAACCATAACCATCGGTTATCGGCGTTCGGCTATGGCGTTCGGTTTTCGGCATTGGTTATTGGCATTGATTTTAACCAAATGGTTTTTGGGTTTTTATCTTTGGTTTATGCTTCTGGACACATTTAAAGGTTTTCCAAATGATTAGTTTTCAAAAACCATAACCTTTGTTTTTCGGCGTTGGTTATCGGCATTCGGCGCCGGTTATCGGTGTTGGTTTTTGGTGCCCAAATCAATCAAGTGGTTTTTAAGATTTTATGATTGGTTTTTACTTCTGGACATATCCAAATGGTTCTCCAACAAAAACAT